GGTACTGAAGTAGCTATTCGTTAATTGACATAATCGTGCTTAGGAACAACAACTGTTATTTACGCTTTTCATATTGGAAGCTTCCTTTCACAAGGAAACCAATCTACTGAGGTACTATAAACATTGCCCTTGATATAACAACAGTACATTGGCTAGCATTGCAGCTAAGAGAATAGTTTAACAGAGCCGTTATAAAAGGAAAACCAGTAAAGGGATGACCTCCTGGATGCACGATCGATTTTTATGTCTTAGCAAAGGTTTGTAAAGGTTGAGGTAATAGGCTTCCCACTTCTTCCAACTGTTCTCTCACGCGGATTTTATGGTTTCTTGACAGTTTCCTTCGTTTACCGCTGTATTCTGCTCTTATCTTTATCCTTTGTTATGCGTTGCTGCCGTCAGCACCGTATCGTAGACTGCATCCAGCTGTATTGCGACAGCGATGGTGTTTTAAACCAGCGATATCCCGACATCCGTTTGATCTCGCCTTTGCCACTACATACAGTCTGCCAGTATCTACTGTCAGATTTACTTGCCAATACATGTTAAACATTTTTGTTGTTTCAATCTTCAAATGCAGAACTTCCAATTACGTGTACTCTGATACCATCTTTAAATTCCATCATTCATATAGGATAGTAATTCAAGGAAGCAGAATTTTTTCTGTCCGCACAACTTGCTCGTCATGACAGCCAATTTTGTTCAGGTACTATGTATATATCGTCTTTTTCTTCACGTTATTGCTGAGTTAGAGCATGCCGGCGGACATCTAGCACTTACCTTACTCCCAGCTATTTATTTCACTACCTCACACATTTATTTCCACCATCTGTTTCGACGATTTAACGATGGCAAGCTCGTTCTGTATGAAGCTAGCTTCATGTTGTATCCCACTTCATTCTGTAGTAGTTCGACAGTCACAATCCTTTGTATTTATAGGCAGAAAGGTTCCTTTTGGCGTCTACCTCATAAACGATATGAAGTATAGAAGATGATAACAGCCCGCCGAAAGCGTTGTCATATTTGAAGCAGAAAGGTCAGGACAGAAACGAATCGGACTCTTCGCCCATTTCGTCCGATAGAGTTGGGGCTTGGACGAACATCTCGACAGAGACCGAAATTCTACCTCAGAACAGTGATATGCTATCACATCTTAGCAAGGATGTAAAGCCACAGAATTTTCCATTGGACGAAGATATTAGCCACTTCTCCGGCAGAACGAACTTCCAGTGGCAGTGAAACCGCGCCGTTGCATTCGCAATCGGATGTCGCTAAAGCTGCTCACCGGTGCAAGGCTGCGATCAGAATTTAATTTTCTGTGTGCACTTCAATTATGAAGTGGTTGCCAGGAAGTTTTCCTCCGGCTATTCATGGCGCACCCAGGAGTTTGCGTTTTTGGAAAGACTCTACGGTATGTTCATATTTACGACGATTGTGAACATTTGATTGCATTTTTCTAGACAAGCAAGCAACTATCAAGTCTAGGATCAGCCGATTTGCTGCGCATCTACCCCCAGATGGCTGGGTATTCCTCGTTATTTCAGTTCTTTTTGTGTTATTTGTATTGTTTTGCATTATTTATTAATAAATCCCTTTCGTGATTTATTTTTCTTGTTGCTTACTCTGAAACAACACAATTTTTCTGGCTGGTTTTGTGTATATGTCTGCCGTAATATAGTGACTATGAAAATGAAACCTCAACGCGCTCAATATCAACAATGAAGTGTTCAAGTTTTTGGAAAGTGCTGATAAATTCAATTGCCAGGCAAATGGATAAGAAACATTTGGCAGGTTTAGGTTCTGCGATTCATAAAATCAGCAGCTTCGATCGTCTGATAGAATTTCTGGGTGAGCTGTGTTTCCCAAAACGTACTTCAGATTTGGTACGTTAATAGGCACGGTGATATATCTGGTCTACAATATTCAAAGATATCTAGTTCAGAAGTTTGTCCTCCGTGCCACATTCAAGATCCTTAGTAGTTGATCTTTCCGAAAGGTCAAATCAACGAAGCATACGCACGTTCGTCGGAAAACCGACATGGACAACGGTTATACGAACGATAAGGTTATGTTGCTATTTAGCTACCACCATTCATTAGTACCTTGTTAGAAGTGGAATCCTCGCTTGCTTTATTACAGCAGAATGTGTTGCTGGTATTCTCGTCATTATACACCTAAATCGAGTCCAAAGAGCCTCACTCAGTCAGATGCATATATTTCGAAAAAGTATGGGAATCAAAACGTTTGACAAGAATTAAATCATTAATACGCGCATAAACTGCAAAATGAGAAGCAACTAATTTTGCACCTTGTTAATGGAAACAGCAGCAAAGGTGAGATTCGTTGTCCAAATTGTCGTTATATGTTTCTCGTCAAGCAAATCAATAATCCTTAATATTCTTTATTTTCCTCTTTCTGTCTCCAGTGCTAGCTTTTGTACCACCCACTGATCTTTGATGGTTGGGAAACACGGCTTGTAATCAGCTATTTTAGGGGAGTAACTTGATTTGCCGGTTTTCAGTTGGAATCGCAGACTACCAAAATTTAGACTTTGATTTTGGCGAGGAAGTGTACGTGTATTTCCGATTCCACAACTTTTTTTCATGAGCAGTGCAACAGTTCAAATGGATGACCTGATGTTGTTCAAGAAGTTGAATTTTAACAGACTGACCGTGAGTGAACTCAGTTGAACATGAAACTGCAGACACTAACTGACCGTTATAGTGTCACTAAGACACTCCTCTGCCTCGCGACGCTTCCGATATGTAAAATTGTATCGCAAGTCCTGAGGATTTATCATAGCTGCGGAAGACAATCAAAACAACTTCATTCTTCTTTATTTGTTGTTACAGTTTATTTCAAAAATTTATTTCTGTCGCATAAGTTTCGTTTTACTCTTCGATGGCGCAGACTGCAGAACGGTCAATATTCAACGTTCGCACTGGTCTCTGCCAAGGCTGCGTCCTGTCCCCTATCCTGTTTGTATTGCACATAGATAGAATAGTCAAGAGCTGCCAAGGCGACGAGGGTATCGGTATAGGAGATGTGAAGTCAAGAAGGTCGCTGTTTGCAGACGACCTTGTTTTATTAGCATCTTCTG